GGGCCACATGGCTGTAGCGGTGGAGGGGCCTCCCTCCGGTGTGGCTGGGATAGTGTGGCTGCTGCCATTGCTTCAAGGGGGGATGAAGTGAGGTAAGGTTCCCAGACCCTCCCACACCTATCCCCTCACTTCCCTCCCCTTCCAAGACCTGGCACCCCAAGCTTGCTCCGACACCCTCCCTTACTCTTGCACCCTTTCTCCTGGCCACACACTGCATCCTCCCTTGTTCCTGCTCCTTCCACTTGGCCAGACACCCTACTCCCAGCCTGCTTCTGCACTCTAGCTCCCATCCAGATCCTGTACCCCATCCCTATCCTGCTTGCTGGCAGCCTTGTCTCATGCACTGTACCCCTCGTTTTTGTCCCTACCCCAGAGCCTAAGGTGGTCCATAAAAACCTCAGTCCCCCCCCTTCCCTTCCCTTCCCTTCCCCTCACTCCTTGAGGCTGGGGGACCCAGAGGAGTGAGATGTCTCAGTTGGGACCACATCAGTGAGCATGGGGGGGGGGGGGGGGGGGGGGGGGGTGGTTTTTTCTGGTTGTTGGATTTTTGCTTCTCACTTGTGTGGTCCCCAACTGATGTTTTTGTTGGTCAGTGAACCCTGATCCAGAAAGGATTTCCCATCCATGCCATAAGTAAAGAAAACATTGAAACCTTTTTGTTGGACATAATATTTTACTTTATTTAAAATGAAGTTTGATAAACTAACGTGAGAAAGTTAAAACGCTTAATGTGTTTAATAATTTAAATTAAACCGTTCTCACTAGCTGCAGCTGGTTCAGAAAATAAGGTCACTGTACCCAGCAGGGTAGTTCTTAACCCCACACCTTCTACCTAAGGCCCCACCCCTTCTGGGTCAGCCTGTGGTCACTTCCAAAATGTGTAAAGTGGCCCCCCGTCCAAAATTATTGCCCACCCCTGATCAAGAGGGTTCTGTTCTGGGACTGCCATTGTTTTCAGTGCATTCAATATTTAAAATGGTAGGCTAGTGTTGAGACCATTTTATGAGATAAAGTGAAACTATTGGAACAAAATACATCAGCCTGTTAAAAGATTTCATGCTGCTGAAGGCCAAAAATTTTGCTGATTTTGTGTATCTTAGTATTGTGGTGTTTAGTATCTCCTAAAGTCAGACACAACTTGAGTCCCACAGGACACATTTCTACATCAGTTTTAAACTGTTCACTTGACTCAAATAAATGCATAATGGTTTTATCCAACATCCTGGGAGTTGTGTCTGCTTTGTACCTCTGAAAATGAGGAACAGCTTTTCTGATATTGTGGCATTACAAAGTGAGGCACAAAAATTTTGCTGCATATGTAGAACCAGTATGAATATGTAGTTGGCTTTTCATTTGCAATATATGCTAGGACTGGAGCACCAAGCCATATTAATATTTATTCTGTTTAGGTAATGGTCATCCTGAATTAATGGCTTCCAAATAGAAGGGCTTTAATGGTTTTAAAGAGAGGTGTTGGCTTTTTTAAAAAACGTTCAAAGCCCAAGAAAAAAACAATCCATTAGTTGGTGTTCGGTACATTTTAAATCTGTCTTGCCAAAATTTCAATCTCCAGAGCTGAGAAATAAAACTGCTTCTTTGAATACCAATGAGAGAGACTGGTAAGCATTTTAAAAGGGTAGATGATGCTCAGCTAGTAGCTGTGCTAATGAAGTTTTATGTTCTTGGGAACTGTTCTGTGCAAAATGATGAAGTGTTTTCTGACTGGGTGATTTTAACTTTTATGGAGAGAAAACAGTTAAAGGTGTAGAACTTTTCCAAGAGATTTGATATGCATGCATCTCTTATTGAAAGCACATCAGGTAAATGAATGCTGCGTCACCTGGGAGGGACGTTAAAAACAGTTTAAAATATTAGAATTGTGTAAAAAGCTAAAATAAGTCCTTTTGAAAATGTAGAACAGTATTTGAAACTTTTCTTGCAAGTGGCACCCAGATACCTATAATTCTCTGACATTTGTTAGCCATTACTTCTGTATCAATTTTTTAGGTACATGGGCCACAGATCTTAAGTGGCCTTTGCCTTCTGCACTTAGCAGTATTCAATGGAATTGGTTTATCTTTAAATGGGTGTACAGAGCAGTGGAAAAATATCCAAGAATGAGGTGAGAAAATACTCAGAAGAAATCTCCATATGAAGAAAAGTCACCTCTGCTTTGTGCAAAGAATAAAAGAAAGTGACACTTTGAAAAACTGCAAGTTTTAGTTTGTTTTTATCCCATCCTACTGTCTATGGCCAAATTAGGAAATTTAAAGGAGAAATAAAGCTTTTTTTCAGGAGAAAGAAATAAATCTTCTCTTTACTATATATATTTACCATAAAAGATGGGGTTTGTATGCTATAAGTAGTATTGCTATTTTGCTCCTTCTGATGTGTGATGCTTTTGCCAGATTAGAAGCATTAGTGCCCTCTATTGTTCATCAGAGAACTGCATATATTTTTAAAGATTAAGTCTTGTATTATCTGTCATAGTATCAAATAGATTTTGACAAAAATGTTATCACCGAATATCTATGTAATTTACACTGTTATTAAACAAGAATATAAATGTTTATAATATTTCTTCTCTCAGCTTTTTTGTTTTATTAATTATTATATTGCAAGCCATTTAAATTATAAGAAAATTCCTCTGTGTGTGCGTGCGCGCGCACACACACACACACACACACACACACATGGGCAAGTTTGCTTTTTGGTGTGTAGTATTTTTTATGAGGTAAATGTAGTATTTGTAGCCAAAGCTTTATGCTTAAAGTACCTGCAAAGAAAATATTTTGAAATTCATATCTGAGCCTATCCTTTTTATTCATTTATAATGTAGCATTTTTTTTTGTTTTTCAAGAATTATAGAATAGTTTATTAATTTGACAGACTTAGGGGAAACATAAGAATTGTAACTTTTCAGAAGAACAATAGAAAAATAATATGACCAATCTGGGTTTTTTACTACATTAAAGTGAACTGTAAGAATGGCAACTTCATTCAAGCAGATCATTTGGAATTACATTAAACAGCTGCTAATAAACAGCTGACAACAAAGGAGACCATTTTGATCTCAACAGCACAGAGATTCTAGCAGCATGCTCCCTCAGTGATGTTATGAAGAACACATTGTGCTCTTGTATACCAATACACAGTGTACTCCCCACTGTGCTTGTTGCCAAACACTGATTTTTCTAATCACTTTGTATTCAGTCAGAGATCCAGGAAGTCCAAATCCAGCCAGACAAATGCAGAACAGCTTAGTTGAAGCAGCTTTAACAGGTGCCATTGGTACAGACTTGTCGAACCAGAGAGACAACATAAACAAATGTGTAGCATTGGTCAATAGGTGTATGATTTGCCCCATTGCACATGATGGCACTGGCTACTAAATAGCATTTTGCAGTGGTGGATGGTTAATGGAACTTCTGTAAAGGCGAGAAAATGAAAAATACGTGTTAATACCTTGCAGACAGAGTCTGCTAGACTTTATACTCACGTGAATTTGTTTGTCTCTCTATATAGTGCCAGACACAGAGAGGGCTAAAATAAAATGAATATATCTATAAAGGCATATGCAAAGTGAATGTAAAATTGATTGAAGAGGGTGCATCCCATGCTTGAAACAGTTGACTGAAGGATGAAGAATAAAATAAAGAGTAAAGATAATTGGATGGGTCATTGTCTTGTCTGTGGCTACCAGGTATGAGATGCATTCCTTCATTGCATCCCTGTAATCTGCTATTGTTCTTGATTTGCCATGTGTTGCCCACTATGTAGATACCCATTCCCTATACATTGTTACACTGCCGCTTTTACCTTCTTTATAGCCATAACCTTGACCCACTCTCTGCTGTCAACATTTTTTCCTCACATCAGTTTTTACCAAGTGGAAGAGACATTGTTAGAGATTTGGCTAAAATGGCTTATTATTCATAATAATTTATGATTATTAGTTTATTATTAGTTTATTTGTTTATTTTATTTAATATTTACTGTTTTCTTTGAGTAAATGCAGGATATTGTGTAGCTGCCTCAAACTAACCACTAAGGATAGTGTTGATTTTTAGTGAAAGGCAACATGCTTTTAATTCTTTTTGGGAAAGGAGGGGAATTTTAAGGAAAAGACTGTCTGAAGGTTTGAATTAGAATCTCAGATTGTACTTGCATATTTACAGGTTGGAAGAATACAAGAATTTGCAGGGAAAAAGGGAAACATTATTAACTGAAGCCTGTTTCTTACAACCTACTATGCATGTTGATTGGCTTTCATGGAAATATTTGCACAGGAAAAGACCACCCAGGGGTGATGGTTTCAGGAGTGGGCCTTGGAATGTTAGTTGGGATGCAGTTTACAAACTTGTAGAATGTATAATGTTGGTTAAGAAATCAGTTTACACAGTGGTTATAGAATGGAGCTGATAGCAACAGTTGTCTGATGTAACAGCTAGGAGACATTATGCTCATATGATCTATTTTGCAATTATTATGTTAAATATTTTTGAAATGCTAATGCTAGATAAGGACTGGGAAGAAGCTAAGGCAGAGTGTTTCAGTGATACAATAGCTCAGGGTGTACATAAGCTCACTCCTTTGTAATATGGAATAGTAAAAATGACTAATTTTGAAATTGGATATGTGAAATTAGATTCATTAAGTGTAAAGTCAGAAGGAGCCAGTCTACTCCTCTAGTCTGACCTGCATGACACAGGCCATTAGAATTTTAGCTAGTTATTTCTGCATCAAGACCATAACTCCTATTTGAGTTAAACTATATCTTTTTAATAAAGATATGTAATCTTAATTTCAAGTGATGGAGAATCTACCACATCGCTCAGTAAATTATCCCAATGGTTAATTAGTCTCACTGTTAAAATTTTTCACTTAATATTTATTCTAAATTTGTCTAGCTTCAGCTTTCATCCATCAGATCTTGTTATACCTGTTTCCGCTAGATTAAAGAGCCATCAACAAGTTGAAATCTTCTAGACCATGACCAAGTCACATTTTAATTTTCTCTTGGATTAACTAAAGAGACTGAGATACTTTAGTCTTCCACTATTCAGCATCTTTTCCCGACCGCCAATCATTCTTGTAGCTCTTTTCTGAATTCTTCAGTCTGCCAACATCCTTTTGAAGGGTGGCCACCAGAACTGGATATCAAAGTCCATAAAGGTTTGGCAACAACCTCTGCAGGACTAGATGTTTCTAGTTTGATACTAAGAAAAGCCTAAGAAATGAAGGACATTTGTCACCTAAGTGACAAAATGATACATCCACACTCAGTTTTTCATCAACACCAAAGTCGTGTATACTACAATTTTATTTTCATTTATTTAGGAAGCGGATGTGTGTGTGTGTGTGTGTGTGTGTGTGTAAGTGTGTGGCATGATGGTGGCAGTGGTTTTGATAATTTTAGAATGTACTGTCATTTTGAGGATATCCTGTAACTTTTATTTCCAATGTAAGTACTATTTGTAAGGGGAAGATGGTAGTTCACCTCTATTCAGATTGCAAGGATTTCTCATTCTTACCATGGACAGTTGCAAAAGAATGTTGCCAATGTGAAAAGCTGAGACGACGAATTCTTTTTATTCAACCACCAAACTTCTGTCAAATGATAGGGATTTCTGACCAGGACAGCAGAGATCAGAAGGTGAATGGAAGACCTAAAACCAAAAAGCAGCATGCCTGTTACCAATATGCAGAGCCAGCCAATCCACTCAACTGCAGCATTTTGTTCGAGCAAGCAGCACATGCATACTCATTGTGATTTCAGTTTACATTTCAAAAGGATTTTTGGCATGTCTATTTGATGTACATGTACACAGTCAATTGGTATGTTGATTTCGGAATTCTATAGTCTTCACTCTGGTGGCATATGGTAGCAATTATCAGGGATTTGAAGTTTTCAACTGAGACGAGATCTGTTAGGTCAAAAAGGATTTTCAAAGCTTTTTTATTATTATTATTTCAAAAACCCTCTGATTATTGTCCAGAGTAATTAAAAATGCTAGGGAATTTAGCATTTTAAATGCTGAATCTTGCTATTTAATTACCACTCTTGTGCATAGGTATAACAGATTATGTTAGTTTGAATTTTGCCCTGGTGTGACTCTGACTTGCATCTCCAATATCATACTTTGGATCAGAAACTTCTTTTTGAGGAGCTGAATTATGATGATGGTTGTGAGCTTAAATATGGTATACCTTATTTAGAGTGGTGGTAAGCATCTGCCTTTCTTGTGATTGGGTCCTGTATGAGGTAAATGTTAAGTTATTTAACAGTTGGTCAAGTTCTGCCCTCAGCCACCCTGCAGCAATCCTGAGGAAGTCAGTGTAGCTGAAATCAGAATTTGGGCCAGTTTGTCAGACTTCGTTCTGAATTATCAGCATTGTGGATCCAAGACACATTTTTTCCAAATGGAATTAGTTGTTAAGCATGTGTCTATAAGAATATGCAAATGAGAAACAGTTGGGTAACCAAGTTTTGGGCAGAAGTACAAAGCTCTATAAGTATGCATTACTTCTATCATTGTTATGGATTTAATGCACTTTTTGGCAGGAGCTTTTTATAAAATGCTATAATGTTAACAGCAACTAAACTCAGGAAGTAAACAAAAGTGAAGAAAAATGAATACAGAAAGAAATTAGAGCGAGGCTGAAGATGTGTTTATTGACTTTAAAGCTGCATTGTTATCATTATCTAATTCACCTTAAACTGATTTATTTGCAACTGATGCACGCTATTCTAAACATGTAGTTCAAAGTTAAGAGCTGAGACTGGATGACGAGCCATAAGGAGGTTAGAAAGGCAGTATCTTGAAGAGTGAACTCTCTGGCTTTCCTTGACACCTTTGTAGTGCAAACTGCCAGCTATGATAAATGGAGCAGAAACATAGACACTCACTAAGAAGATGGAGCAGAAGCAAAAGGTTGGAGACAGACAGAAAGACAGAAAGACAGAAAGACAGAAAGACAGAAAGACAGAAAGACAGAAAGACAGAAAGACAGAAAGACAGAAAGACAGAAAGACAGAAAGACAGAAAGACAGAAAGACAGAAAGACAGAAAGACAGAAAGACAGAAAGACAGAAAGAAAGAAAGAAAGAAAGAAAGAAAGAAAGAAAGAAAGAAAGATGTATGCTTGATCTCACGTGAAGAGAAAAACAAATGGATATGGTAGCAAACCAAGTTGAATGACATCATGAAGAAAGACCCTGAAGTACTGAAGTTGAAGTGGCATTGGACCAGCAAGAAGAGCAGATGGAAGGTGGGATAAATTAATAACCAGATGGGTCATTGGAGAGTAGCAGCTTCATATTGCTAGAAACACCGATGATGAGGGGATCTGGTAATCTTTACTGATACTATCTATATGCAGCTCCCATTCCAATTACATAAAAGTCAGAGTACCCATTCTTTGGTTTTGGGCACTTGTTGAAAAAAATGACTAGGTTGTCAAAGGAAAATGTGCCAGGCAATATCCAGTAATGGGAAGGAAGAAGGTATCTAAAGGGAAGAAATTGAGCTCATCAAACAATATTTTTCTGTATTAGAAAGATTTCATGCACCCTTTTTAATGGCTTAGGGGAATCTAGCCAGTCAGTAGAAATGACACTGACCTAAGGAGTACATTTTCAGATCCTTACAAGGGGCACATTTTCAGAAAGTCAATTTGTCATGAATATTACTTCCTTTTTATGAGGCAGCAGACAAAGGAATAACACGTTGTTTAGCATGGCGATCTAAACAACTGTATTTTAACTTATCGCTTGTTCGGTACAAGCAGATCCTAAAAATCTTGATCAGCTCCTAAAAATCTTGTATCTCTTGACAGACCTACTCATCCAATGTTGAAAATAAAAAGTTACCTTGTAAATGCCTCAAAGAACCCAAGAAATTATGTTTGGCCTAACGGGCTCATTTATTAGTTGAATTCTTCCTTTGGTCATGCTGAGTACTGTACTTCACACATAATGGCTACATCTAGACTGGCATGATTTTTCGGAAATGCTTTTAACGAAAACGTTTTCCGTTAAAAGCATTTTCGGAACAGAGTGTCTAGATTGGCACGGACGCTTTTCCGCAAAAGCACTTTTTGCGGAAAAGTGTCCGTGCCCATCTAGACGCTCTGTTCCGCAAACAAGCCCCGATCGCCATTTTTGCGATCGGGGCTTTTTTGCGGAAAACAAATCTGAGCTGTCTACACTGGCCCTTTTGCGCAAAAGTTTTGCACAAAAGGACTTTTGCCTGAATGAGAGCAGCATAGTATTTCCGCAAGAATACTGAAAATCTTACATGATATCGTCAGTGCTTTTGCAGAAATTCAAGCGGCCAGTGTAGACAGCTGGCAAGTTTTTCCGGAAAAGTGACTGATTTTTTCGGAAAAACTGGCCAGTGTAGACACAGCCCAAGTGTGTGATGACCAACTAGAAACTACACTGATAGGTATTTTAGAAATACCATAGAGAAATTATTTAAGCTCTAAGTACTGCATGTATAAGATGTAACTTCTCATCAATGGTATTTACAAGGGAGCTGAGGTCAGAGACTAATTTTAGTTTTGGGTGGTGACCACTTAAGCATGTTGCACAAACCAACTTGAGATCCAAGTTGTCCTTGAACAAACCAACATAAAATGTTTGATCTAGATCTCTTTCCTTAAGTGCCAAGTCTCTATGGCTACGTCTAGACTACAAAGAAAAGTCAGAAAAAGATATGCAAATTGCAAAGTACAATTTGCGTATCCTTTTCCGCTTTTCTTTTGAAAGAGGATTTTCTGAAATTTGGCGCATCTACTTGGCGACAGAGTTTGGAAAAGCCTGCTCTTCTGAGCCATCCCTTCTTCCTCATACAATGAGGTTTACAGGGATAGTGAAAGAACACGTCCACTTTTCTGAATTTTTTTTCAGAAAAGCAGACGCGTTCCTTGGACGCGGCATTGCTTTTCCAGGATACCTGCGGCAGTCTAGCTGTACCCGAGATTGTCTTTTTTCATCTATAGTAGTTTCCATTAATAAATCAGCATATCCCCAACAGTTATCCCATGTAACATCTGATATACCATAATATTTCAAACAGTACCCTCTGGTAATGGGTTGGTGAATGCTTACTTTATATCAGCAACTTCTGCATTTTATTCTACAACAAATGTCTTTTATTTTGTTTAATGCAAGGAAAGTCCCCATCAGCAATGTTTAAGGACTAAATTCTGCTATGCACTTCATGATCCCCATGAAGTCAGTCAGAACCGTGTGAGTACACATTGAAGACAAAATTAATCCTCAGTTTTGCCTGTTGTCACCCATGCAGCATATCAAGGCTATGCAGCATTTTGTTCAGTATCAAAGAATAACTGGTAGTTTAGTTCACCTCCAGCAATAGTGCCAGTTCCAGTGGCAGGGATAATAAAATGTGTCTGTCCTCTCACTGCGATGTATAGAGCTAGAATACAGTGTTATACCCTTGCTTGAGTGTGAAAGGGCAACGACCTCACAGAAAGAGAAGACAGCAGCTAAGCATCCAAGTAAGTAAGATTAGGAATAGCAGCTTTGTACACTCTAAGAATCTATGCACCCCGTCTGCATTGCTAAATAATGGTGACTGCTTTGTTTTGGCAGTAATATTTTGGGTGAGTGAGTGCATGTGTGTGCACATGAATAAGAGATAGAGGACAGTACCTAGCAGTTTAGGTCAGGAATTGAAATGTTAATCTATCAGCTTGAGACTGCATTATTCTGTGTAAAATGTGTGTTGTGATTTAAGGTATCTACTGCTGTCAAATGTGGACACCCTTCCTTTCCACTCCCATTTCTTACCCATATTAGAAATCTGTATATTCAAAGAATCATCTCCTGGAGAGGTTTAGCCAATGACATATTTGAACTCCAGTCTGTGTAGACAAAATATGTGCTGTTGCATAGAAAATCAGATACAGCAGGTATATAGGTGTCACAAAATGCCAGAATAAAGTCCAAATATCTATAGAGCTGTGTGATTATAATTTTTTCTTGCAGTTTAAAGCCCTATCCTGTATTATAACAGGCTTAAGTTCTGTCATAACTCATGTTTGATCCAGAGATTTCAGCTTCTGCAATTTTTTGTCATTGTTAACTTTTAAATAAGCAGATATTAATTTTGAAGGAATTAGGCTGAAATTTTCTCAGACTGAAATGAAATGGCACAAGTTAGCAAGACTAGCTGCTAAAGGTGCCTTAATAAAAACTAGTGCAATGTGGAAGGTTTGACATTTTTATGATAAAAAGATCTCTACATTGCATTTGGTGTAATAAAATCAGTCAAAATGGGGCAGATAAAGTAACAACCCATTTACTAGGCATTGTATCTCCCTTTTACATTCTTGGGCAACTTCCTGGTTTTCAATTATGATGGAAACAATGCTTTAAAATGTTCAGATTTGGGAATATTTTTATGTGAGGCTGGCGTATCATTTGATAGTCTTGCTGACCTTTTGTTGTTTTGTTTTGTTTTTTAACCGGTTCATTTTCTGATAATGTGACAGTTTAAGTTTTTGGTGTGGACAGGTGTTATGTGACTGCATTCCCCACAGGATTTTGGGGGGCTGCACTGGGAAGTGTTGAGTGCTGAATGTTAAGCTTGTTCCTTTGTATGGCTTGGAAATCTCTGTTGTCCAGAATTGTACAGAT